TGTTTCTTTTTATTTATATTTTTATTTTATATCTGTAACAATCCAACTCCTTGATTTAGTACTTGTATTTTATTTTGTGGTCAATATTAAATAATACTAAACATATCACATTTGTGATATGTCTTGTTTGAGCATATTATTTAGCAAAATTCTTACTATCACTTTATGTTTCACCGCAAATTCGAATAAGTCTTATCCTTCTACATTTTCCCCCAAAACAACTCTTTCTTTAATCTTTGCTTCTATTATTGCATTATCTATTACTTAATAATGTTATATTCATGTAATCTTTTATTAGCTTACCAATTGACTTGATATCTTGCTTATTGCCCTTTTGATAAACATATATAAATATAAATTTTTTTATTCCTAAAAGTTATATTTATTTTTGTACTTTTATCCTCTTACTTGGAACTCTTTTTTCATTTAAATCTAACAATAATATTTTGAGTATTATTTAATTATTTAATTTCCTTATACTTAATTAATTCAAAGTATAAATATTCTCACACTATCTCTATTTTCCTCTTTATACATCCTCTTCCCTACTATGGATTTTTAATTAGTTTTTTACATTAATATTTTACCAAAAACAAAATATATAATATCATGTCTTATTTTAAGTTATAACTTTGAATTATTTTAAAATATTAATAGATAAGTTTTTTCTTATTATATTTTAAATCTATTAAATTTTATTATAATTGTTTTTTGTATCACATGTAATTAAATTTTCTTTCTCTTTTAACGTTAGGATACAAATTAGACTTTAATTTTCGTTAATAAAATTACTCACATGAGATATTTATTTTGTATTTCCTTGGATTTAATTTGTTATCCAATTTTTAGTTTTTTATCTAGTAAAATTTCAATTTGTAGTCCTATTCATATTTTGAGCGTATTCACCATAATTTTAATCTAAATCTCAAGTTCAAATCGTCTTTCCCTTCTATTTCTATATTAAATATTTTTAAATTTTTGATTATTGCTATTAAGTTACCTAATATGTAGTATTTTATTTTCTTATGTGGGTTTCATTAACATACCTCTTTATTTAATATCATAATCTATTTATATCCTTTAATATTATTATATAAATCGATGTATGATTTTTTAATATTGAAAAAAATACTTATTTTATTTAAAATTAATACTCAAAATTATTAAATAGTTTAAATTCAATAATAATATTTTTAAGCATTATATATTTACTTTATTTTAAACTAATTCTTAGTATAAATAACCTCGCATTATCTCTAATTTATTAATATTTTGATATTTTTTAACTTTTTTAACCTATTAAACTTCAGTTATGTGGCCTTGTCCACATCATGACCTTTTTTTTATCATACTTAAAAAAACTTTTTTATATCAAATTTAAATGAGTTTTATCCTTTTTTGTTCTTTATGATAGAATTTTGATTTTTCTCTGCTTGTTTCTTATTTTGCTATTGTATATTCAGTACTTAATATTATTAAGGTTTTTTTTATTAGTTTACTTGAATTTAATATCCACTTTTATCGCATTCATTTTAATATAATATAAATAATAAATATAATTATTTCAATAGTAACTTTGACTCTATTGCTCATATTCTTAAATACAATTTTTCTTACCATATTAAAAAAAAGTCCCATCTCAAATACAAATATATCTTATTCTTCTATTTTCTCCATTGGACCACATTTTCAAAAATCATCTTATACTTTTAAACTTAACCTAGTAATACTCAATTCAAATATTAATCGTAAAAACTCTAATTGTTGCAGCAATATTTTAACTATTATTTTAAAATATATTTATTTATGTATAAAATATTTATTTGTCCGAATTGGAAACATTAATATAACCTCATTATATATATATATATATATTTTGATATAGAACTTATATAAAGTACTTCTTTATGAACTTGTTGAGCAATTAACTATCAATGTTTTGCTTTGCTGTCACTCTATTTTATCTACCAATATTATTTAAGCAATGTTTTTTGGGTTATAAAATATTTTTAAAAAATTGTAAGTTCTTGAAAATGATAAATGTTAATCCATTTTAACCAACTCAATATAGGAAGAAATTGTTCTCCACATAAATCCTCATATTATTTATTGTTTCCAAAGACTTTAATTTGCAGGAATATCTTATAAAATTTATGGTTATTTTTGTGACCAAGTATTAAAAACAAACAGTTAGGCATAAATACTTTTATCAAGATTCTTTAAAGATTTATCAGTTAATTTTACCTATTTAAAAATTGAATTTTATCTCGTTAGAGATTTTGGAATGAAGATTGGCCTAAATCAAGAAAAAAAATTGATACGCGATGGAAAAAACTTATCCGTACCGGATGTTTATATCCAACCAATAAACAAATAACACATGTCACTTTATTTAACTACGATTGTTAGTACTTAACCGTAGTTAAGTACTATATATTTTGCACATAACCTTTATTAAATATTAATATAAAAATACCCAACATCTTGAAATTCGCTTTGCATAATTACAGTATTACTAATCATGAAAAGGTTATCAAACTTAATCTTGAAAAGAAATTTTTAACTTTTATTTTACTGACTTTTTTGTGAAGACAATAATACCCTAAGTGGGTTACTAACTGAACTAAAGCTTAGGAGAATTTTTTCAGCACACATTAACAAATAACAAACTGAATAGTACCTAAGAAATTGTCTCCCCATTACACTCCCAGTTGAGTTTTTTCGTAGAATATCATGTAGAAGGAGAAGAAAGACGAATGCAGGTAAGTTTTTTCTATAATCGCACGGCCATTAATTTTTTATTTTATTTTATTTCTTTATTTAGTAAAATAGAACTCCTAAAGATCTTAATTAGTTTCTTTCTATGGTTAACTTAACTTATCATGGTGTAACACCCGGTGCGGGTAAGTTTTTTCCATAAGCGATAGTGTATAGTATAAAGATGACTAACGTTGAGTTAATATTTTACAATAAACTAACTTAATAATATATAAAAATACAAAAAAAAAAAAAAGAAGAGAAAATACTTAGTTGTTTGTTCACTGCGTGTAATTTCTTAATAATTAGAAAAAGATGATGAAGAGAAAATATTATTTGAGAATGGAAGGAGTTCAAATATTAATTATATGAAAGTGTATTATCTATATATATATTTATACTATCATTAAGTGCTAGACAAAGTCTACAAATGAAAATTTGAAATGGTATATTTATTCATACTTGACTTCAAAGTTGTATCATTTGTTGTTGGGAATTAAAAAGTTTTTGAAAGTTCAAAACAATTTAAAGATGTTATGTAACTATATTAGTTTACCTTGTTGGAATTTTTTTTACATGTTCATTCCTTATTTGCAAAATATTTTTTTTAATCCTAAATTATAGGACTTCGTACATAGTTCAAATAAGGAACGATTTAATAAGCAAAATAATTTAGTAGATTTTAAATTTCTAAATATTAAGAAAGTAACTTAATTACAATTTTGTCCAATGTGAATTATATTTTAAAGGGTAAATAGGTGAATGATATTTTACTAAGAGATTTCGTGCTTTTAATATGTTATAGATATAATTAAGTTGCTTGAAAATGATTTACTATTAGATAAAGTAATTTAATATCCTATTATTAAAAACATTCTTTATATTTATTTTCTTTTTATTCTTTGATAAAATTGTCTTATGGTTGATTTTGGTTAGTAATATAGTCCAAATTGACCTAATATTTCTGAATAAATAATTAGGTCACGTATTTTAACCCTTAAAAGTAATACCTAATTTGTGCAAGTTAGACGAGTTAATTACATATTTATGGATCTAGTAAATACAATATTGGCGTGTGAGATGCGTGGCTGGTCCACATATGGAAAATATATGCACATGTTACAATAGGCAATTGCTATATTCTAAGATCATGATTATACACGCTAGAAACTTTTGTGCAAATCCACCACAAATCTAGTGTATCTGTGTGCATCAATGGAATCCAATGTATTATAGTAAGAGTTAACAATAAAAATTGATACAATCTTGACCCATATATGTGAATGGTATTAAGAGATATCTACAATGTCATGAAATATATAGCAAGATAATTAAATGAAGAATCAAATATTTACGATGTGTCTGATTCAAACTAATAGTATTACAGTTTGAATTGTGACCCCTTGATCCGTACAAGATCGTATATTTGCTATTGTACGTATACCAAGTCAACCAATGAAAAAAGGGATCTTTGCACAAATAGCTGGTCATGTTCATTGTTTATTTTTTTCAGTCATATACATAGATTATGCATTAATTATACATAATTATACACATGTAATGCATAAATTATGCATACATTATATCTCCACCAACTATTTTTAGTTTAAATGGTCGGATGGGCGATTTTTAGGGTTAATTTAAAAAATATGTTGGACACTAAAAATAGTTACTCTTATTACACTTTTTTGTATTTGAAAAAAAAAAATAAAAAAAAAAAAAGAGGAAAAGGCAGAGATTCAAAACATGAAGCATGTGTAAGAGAAACATAGATAGAAGGGCAGGGTGCAGTTGTACCAGTTAATATAAACCGGTATACTATACACCTTTTCCCACTTTCTTCCTTTTTTAAGTCAAGGTCAAATGTAAATAAACAAATGTAAAATACCACTAATGTGCTTGTCCTATATTCCTGTCTTCAACCTCTTATTAATTACACTAAGATTAGTACTTAATAATCTAACCTAATTAATAATTCCAAAATTTTCTTAATCTTTGTATAATAATTTCTTTTCCTAAACATTATATATAGTATTATTAAAGGGCAAGACCATTAATTTTGCGATACGGTATAATCTAGATTCTTAAATTAATTATATTGACATTGATAGGGGTAATAAAAAATACCCGGTGCCATTTTAGTAAAATTACCTCCCTACCCCACCAAACAAAACCCTTCTAACGTTTCCACCATCTATATAAACTCTCCCATCCTATGCTTAATTCCTTCCCTTTTCTCCTACTCTTCCTCTCTCTCTCTCTCTCTCTCTCTATTCCAATTTCAGTTTCTTGCTCAAAAGCAACAGCTGCTCCAATTCTCCGGCAGTTTCTCAGTTTTTTGCATGTAAGTCCTCTTTTTGTTCTTCTTTCTCTCATTTAATTTTCTTTTAAACTCGTTTTAATTCCTTTATGTTTACAGATTTACGCATCTCTCTCATTCCCGTCATTGAATGAATCTCTAACCTCACTTCCTTTGAATTTTGTCAGATTCATGCATTTCTTTTAAGAAATTCTCTAAGTTGTTATAATTGTGATGTTATATGATCGGTGTATAAAAATTATGATCATCGTCTTATATGCTTTCAACTTTCTGATATCGCTGTCGTCGTCAATGGCGGTGGCATTCTCAGGTGCTAGCGTTGAGGTCATTGATTATGTTTATTATTTCTTTCTTTTTTTCATTTTTTTGTTTGATATGAAGTAGGAGTGGTTTTTTCTAGTGATTTACGGCGTTTTTGAGTGACTAAAAGTGGTATTTATGAGGGCACGAACAAACGAAAAAGCGGTTGGTGTTCGTTTTCTTTTTTACCCGAGGACCAAATTGAATTCCCACTACCTCAGGCGCGTGGATGTATTCGCTTGATTTAACCTCCCGAATGTTGGCGTTCTTGTCACGCGCTAGGAGTAGTGTTAAGACTCGCTACTTCGAGACTTTTTCGGTTACTTTACCGGCAGTTACGTGTGGTATATGCACTGTACACGTGTATCTCATAGGGCCCACAAACTTGACTGGGCGAGGGTCCATTTTTTGACCCAGAAGGCCCACTTAAGTACAAATCTAGTTTTAGATCTTTCTATTTTTGCTAAATAGCCTAGATTTTGATAACACGTATTTTATGACTGGATTGCACTTTCAGTTAAGCCCCGGGCTTTTTTAGTCGGCGGCAGGTAGAGATTAAGGCCCCGTTTGGCCATGAGTTTTGCCAAAATAAATTTGGGATTATTTTCAAAATTCATATTTGGCCATAAATTTTTTCCATATTTTGGCCAAATCCCCAATTTCAAATGAGCTGATTTTGGGCCAAAATCCCAAAACTTGGGAATTATATACATGTTTTTCCAAAATAAAGTTGGATAATATGTTTTGAAAACGTATGTCCAAACACATTTTCATCTTCAAACCAAACTTCACCCAAATCAGATTTTTCAAAATAAATTTGGGATCTATGGCCAAACGCTAGCTAAGAATTCGGGCCCCAGTTGCCCACCCTTTGGATATCCTTTTTTTTTTTGCTGGATGTTGCTTTTCGTGAATCAAACTTCCACTTAAACCGTATTAGCTACTGTTACTTCCTCCGTTTCATATTAGATGAGATATTTTTTGTTTTAGTTATTCCAAAACAAATGACACATTTTTAAATTTGAAAATAATTCAACTTTAAACTATTCATTTTACCCATTTACCCTTAATGAGAAGTTTTTATAGCCACACAAATATTATGGTCCCACAAATCTTTTACCCCTTAAGCTTTTAAGACCACAAATCTTTTACCCCTTAATCCACAATTCCACATATATCAGAGTCCCTCCACCCTTTCGTGTTCTCTTTCATTTTCTACGACGTCTTTTTTAATTCCCGGAAATTTCTCCCGGTAACAGTCCTTTGGGGACATCCGATTATACTTTTATTTAATTTTTTTGTTTGTTTGACTTTATTATTCGTAGCCTTTTTGTCCTTGAAATTTGAATTATTTCTCGTTCACTGATTTTTAAAATTCGTTCAAAGTAAGACATTTTTTTTCTCCTCTCATTTTCATGGAATATCAAATTCATATGTTTAGCTAGTCCCATTTTTTAAAATTTATTTGGTTTGCTCTTATAGTAAATGTTTCATCCTGGAAACAAAGTTTTCTGACTCAAGGTTTTTCACAAGGGAAATTCAGTTAACAAATGACTTGATTGTTTCTAGTATGGAATCTTTTTTTCTCTACCTTCGGTTTTTCAAAATAAAATTTCTATTTTTTCAATGAGGAGCATCAAAATTTTATTAAAATACTAGTTTTAATAGTGTTTTGCGTGTGAGATTGTCACTGCTCTTGCTAAATAAGAATACTTGGAGAAAGAGGAATTGACCAACTATGATTGGATTAACTCATTGTACTTCTGATACTCTTCTCTATATAAAGTATTGGGGACCACTTTTTTATTAACCAGACACCGTGTTTCTTGGCAAGAAAGTCGTTAAATATTTTGATAAATCAAGTGATACATCCCAGCACCTAATTTCTTTATGTTTCCTTCAATTACTATGTTGATTACTTACTCATTTTTTTACCTAAAATATTAATAGCACTTTGGACTTTGTCCTATGTATTAGTTGAATATATACTTATCATTATTCTAGATTATATTCTACTTCTAGGTAGTTTCTCTGGACTTCTTAAGAGTCGTCGTAGTCGTTGTCCCATGTGTGTCCCTTTTGTAACATCCATTAAAAACAAAAAAATACTCCTATAGTTTTAATTAGTCACTTTCTTATGCCTTGTCCAAAAGGGTATCCTAATGTGTCTCAGGTTATAATCCTCAAAATGCCCGACCTTCTAAATGATCTTTTCCTCCTTGTTTGTGACACGTAAATAATCTTTGTCGTTTTGTACCTTTTTCTTTAGTTGAAAAATGGTCCTATGACTCTTGCCTTCAGTTTCATTTTCTTGTTCACACACATACGCTTTCACAAGTCAAATCATCACCTCGTTTTTTACTCCACCTTCTTTTACTAATAATAATTAAATAAAGTGTAGATGCCCTTCATTTTCTACACGTCTTAGTTTTTTTACGTGGCAAAGATGTAATGGTTTTGTGTCCAGTTTCATGTGATTGTACATGCACGATCTACTGGTTTAGTTGGTAATTTTGTGGGTCGCATGAATTATGAAGGTAAAGTGGTGGTGGCTCCTTCTACACCAAAAAGTAGAAAAAGAGAAGCAAAGATAGTGGCCGAAGTACATTCTGTTGGGACCTAGAACTCAATAGATAAGATGAGATTGGAGAGGTCAGAAATAAACTGGGGTAAAGATGATTAATTTTTAGGATTCCTTTGTATTACTACCAATATAGTAGTAAAATAAACTCCAGAGTAGTTCTTTTTAGGGGGTTGACGCGATATGTCATAATCTTGATTGAATTCTTAATATTATTTATTGCAGAGTCTTAGATATTAATGCAGGGTTGAAAATTGACAAACTTAAACACTAGATTTTCTGTCGAGGGATAACTTTGTCTAACTAGCAATTAATGATTACAGAATTAAATTTTAGTTTGAAATTTCGCCTGCATTCGCTGAAAACTACTTCCAAAGTTGGTCTCAGTCGTCAATTTATACTTGTATAATATGCAGTGTTATCTTTAACTATCTTTTTAGATTAAAAATTACGTACCTTGCCTCCTTTTAAATGTTATAAGTACAAACTTATTTTTAATTTGATGCCCAAATATTCACCAGCTTATCATTTCGTCAAACCAACTTGTTTTATTTCTATCTCAAAAAATGTTTTTTTTCTCTCTCTCTCTTAGGCGGACCTACCCTTATGGTAAAGGGTTACCGGCCCCCAATAGTTTTGAAAAAATAATGTATTTATATATATATATATATATATATCTTAAATAATATGTATATATTTGATTGACACCTTAAGACTCAAAGCTTTGGCAGTCGCATTGGTCTAGTTGGAAGGAGGGGGTGCAACTTGACTTTTAATGCCCTACCTAGGTTCAACATTACTCTAATATTTGCTCAAATTTTAATTCGATAGTGGTGCCCTATCTACTTTAAAATCCTGGATACGTCTCACACACTCATTTACTCCCTAGTCTTTTTGGGAGGTTTGCGTCTCTGTCATTGGAATGCTTCAATTCATCATGTGAGGAAATTTAATATAGGTGTGTTAAGGAGCTATCTGTTTGTACATACATATTTTTTCCATATTCTCGTTGTAGTTTTTAGACAGATGGAATTGAAAAGCAGGATTGGGTGGTGACTCTATGGCTGGATTAAAATTTTAGTTTCCGAAACAGTTGGCAACCATAGAAAGCGTAGTTAGAGCAAAGCCAACGGTATTTAACGCATGATAGTCTTATTCTTATACTATTATATTTGAGAACTCCATTAATTTTTTGCCGGTGTTTGCTGAATCAGTTTGATTAAGACCTCAGCTCTAAACAACTTTTCTAATGTTGCCATGTAACGTTGAGTCACCTAACCTGACTTTAATATTTGATTGATGCCATTTATTTTTAGTTCCTTTTGTCTTCTTCTTGTTTTTATTTTATGTCACTTCTTTTCAAATCAAATTTGTTGTTATAGTGACCTTTCTTTAAACAAAGGCATTTTTTAACTCATGAGGAATCTGTGCTAATCATTTACTTACACATGTATATATCATTATTTTTGCCCTACCTAATATCTTATGTTCCAAATTATTTGTCACACTGAAAGCTTTGACAAAGACTTTATTTCTATTTTATACAATCTCAACTTCTTAGTTATTTACTTCTATTATTTTATATTAACCATTTACTTGCACCTAATATCTACCATGTTAAATACGTTTTAAAAAATAAAATATTCTTAGGTTCTTTTGGTCTTTGCCTTGTTCCTAATTAATTATATGGAATTGCAACTCTAGTTTATATTGATTATTTTGCGGGATTCATGATCTTAATATTCCTTCGTAGAGGAGCTTTCCATTTTGACTTAATGCTTTTCTTTGTCTACTGTTGAAAAATAAATGCTTTTCAGGAAAATTTTCGACCCACCATTTCCATATTCTTCATCCCTTTTCACCCATGGACTCGTACAGAATCAACCGTTAATTTATTCTTTGCAAATAGCTAGCTGATATTCATTAAAAACAAACACAAATGCAATTCTATTGTTTGTCGGGTTATAAGAAGGCACTGTTGTTGTTTGTAAGTTTCATTTAAACTTCTTGAAGATGGTGTCAAGGAAAAGGCCAGAAAAATACTTCCTCACGCAAGGAAAATGTGGATCATAATAATGAATTGTGTTGCGTTAATGAAGACGTGAAATAAAATTCACGTTATTATCATCTGATAAAAATCTGCGCATCTTCGTAGACAATTTGATGTGTAAATTTCCTTTCTTATTTATTAATCTGCACTTCCTATTTTTAATGAGAAAAATGCTTTTTGTTTTTCCAATTTAAAGGCTGACAATAGTTTTCCTTTTCTGGCTTGACACCAACAATTAAACTTTTGTGTCTATTACTTTGGTCCTAGCAAGCCCATTGATTTATATGCCTGTCAGCTTTTCAAAACTCCCCTAAGCTTATGTACATATTCTTATTTGGGTACTTCTATACAGCAAGATGAGAGAAAATTTGAAAAGGTGGCTATACCAGGCAATGGGATTCCAGAACGAGCTGGCTAGAAATCAAAGAATTGAGCCCATTTCAAAAGCTACTAAACCTAACAAGACGGAGCCCAATGCAGCAGGGGACCCGAAAGATTCTAAGCCTGATATGTCCCTTTGTGCTGATGTCAAATACATTTCTTGGTTGGTGAGTTGCCCACTTTTTATGCTTACTCAAATATTTTTATTATTGATGATTTTATTAAGACACACTGCAAGCTTGTTAATTTTTTATTTTTATTTTGGAGATAGCAAGGGCCCAGTGAAGATTAGTTTTCACTTAAAATAATTTTTCTTTAAATTTATAGTATTGCTAGTAGAATTGCACTAAACATGTGATAAAATTGATTATGCGTGTCACATTTGCTGAACTTGTGTGATGCATAGCACACAAGCAGAGATAGAATTGTATGACACTGTTTTGGTCATGGCATTGATTCAGGAAGATTAGAAAGCAGAATAAACGATCTATTCTATTCTAGGTCATTTGAGTAAAGACAAGTATCCAATAGTTATCATTCTGATAATTGTGCCTTAGAGTCTCATTTATAAGCTTTTGTTTCAGAAAGAGCACCCTTCAGCATTGAGCTCCTTTCAAGAGATGATAAGTGCAGCAAAGGGGAAACGTATCGTCGTGTTTTTAGATTATGATGGGACTCTATCTCCAATTGTGAATGATCCTGACAGTGCCTTCATGTCTGATCTGGTAATTAATAAACCGTGTTGCTATCTTCCTTTGATCTCTTTCTTTGTCCTATGAAGACCTTCTAATAGCATGTATTACATCAGATGCGTTCAGCTGTACGCCAAGTTGCAAGGCTCTATCCGACAGCTATAATAAGTGGAAGAAGTCGACAGAAGGTAATTAACTATATTAATCATTTCATTTCTTGATATTGAGTCAGTTGATGATGAAAAAAAGTTAGTATATCTTATTTATTTTGTTGGATGTTGTATGCTTAGGTTTATGGATTTGTAAAGTTAGATGAGGTATTCTATGCGGGGAGCCATGGAATGGACATAATGGGACCTGCAACTCAGGCCAGTTCTTACGATGGAAAGTACCAAAGCAAAGCCCTTGATAAAAAGGTATTTCCTATTTCCTTTAAACATATTTTGGTCTAGAACAGTTGATTCCTTATAGTTATATATACTTATCAATGTGGGCAACAAATTGTAGGGAAATGAACTCACTGTCTTCCAGCCTGCTCAGGACTTTCTGCCTTCAATTGAAAAGGTTGGCTAACACTTCAACTTGTCTATGAAGCTATTAATTTGTAATATAATGCGTCCAAAACAGTACATGTTGTTGATTATGTAATTTTTGCAATAACTTGGAGTACATATTTCCTGCTGCATCTTATTTTTTATTCAACAAAATGTTTTTGTATGTGGCAGATGTTGAATGAGTTGGAGGAAACAACTTCAGAGATAAATGGAGCTCTGGTTGAGGACAACAGGTTCTGCATCTCTGTACATTACCGGCATGTCTTACAAGAGGTAAAAGTCCAATTAGATATACTCTTATCGATCTTTTATTTCAGAAATTGTCAAATCATATGCAGAATGTTGAATAAGTATTCCAAATCTTAATTAATTTTCAGGATTTTGGATTGCTGGAAAAGAAAGTCCAAGCAGTAGTTGCAAAGTACCCCGGTTTTCATCTTACAAGGGGTAAGAAAGTTATAGAAATACGGCCATCAATAAAGTGGAATAAAGGGGATGCTTTGCTTTACTTGCTTGAAACTCTAGGATTTGCAAATTCAAGTGATGTTCTCCCAATTTACATAGGGGATGACAGAACTGACGAAGATGCTTTTAAGGTATATATGACTCTCTCTCTCTCTCTCTCTCTCTAATTCATGTGATCATACTATAGTTGTATACGCAATGTTTTAATCCAATTTTCTCCTCCTTTAGGCGTTGTGTTTGTACAACATATGTAATAATGTAGTGATGCGAGTTGTTGAACTGGATTGTGCAGGTACTCAAGAGTACAGGACAAGGGTATCCTATTATAGTGTCTAGTAATCCAAGGGAAACATTGGCATCTTACTCGCTGCCAGATCCATCACAAGTTTTATCTTTTCTGATTCGGCTGGCCAGATGGGGGGATCCTTCCTCAGTGTAGATTTTGCTTGAGAGGTGCATGGAGCTGGCATAAGTTTATTATAATCAATGTACAGTTTCATATAATATTTAATATATATATATATATATATCGGCATAGATGGTAAAAAATGAAGGAATGGGAGCTAGGTATGGGATCGTCGTTCCCTAATACAAGGCGTTTTTTATAGTCGCCTGTTTTTACTCCCATTAGGTTTACAAAGTACTAGTAATATATATATATATATATAGGCTTTAAGGATGAAACTGCAGTTGGGTGAAGTTTTTTGTATCATTGCGCAACTGCAGCTTATTAATGAAAAAAAAAAAATTTGAACATTTCAACTTTATTTGGTTTTATGTCATGTTTTCGTTCCAACTGCAATAGTTTGTCACTTGCGGGGTAAACGTTTGTTACCTTATTCATTGTAACATGCAACAAAATCGCAGAGATATCATTTTGTGTTGATAATGTTTTTCCTGTTGATATTGTTGAACAAACAATATGCATATTGAGTTTGAGTTGTATGCACTAACGATGTAAAAGATAACTACACAATCAGGTTATTTTTGAGTTAATTATAGGAATATCTTTATGAGAATGATTATATAATAACCGGATATAACTAACCTATTACTACTATAGATTAAACTACGTTGATTGTGTATTTTTTTCCACAAAAAATTTAGACTACTCCTACTCAGAATTGGGCCACTCGGAATTATCAAGCCCACTCTTCTTATTTAGGTAGAAAGAAGAAGAAATTTTCATAAAGCACTATCTTTTAGTAGTAATTAGCCATCTATAGATATCATTTGCTATATTACGGATTATAAATACCTTTTATGTGGTTATAAGATGTATTTGATGTATTTAAGCTATTGTATTCATGAATACAGTAGAAAAATAGGCGTGAATCAGGGAAGTCCAGCTAATCAGTTGTTGTATTCGAGTGTATTCGACTATATTCATGGAGTGAAACACGGGATTACAGCTAGACAGATTATTGTATTCGACTGTATTCACGGCGTCAAATAGGGGATTACACTGTTTTTAAAACGAAAAGTGAATCAATTAACCTAATAGACTCCTAATATAACTCAACAAACTCAATTATAACACACAAATTTTGTATTTTCACTTATAAAAAAGATTCTCAACCGAAAAATACCCCAAAAACATAGCAATCTTCAGAGAAATTATATAATACATCTGAATACATAAATTATATTAATTAAAAAAGACTTATGAATACATTCATGGCATATAGCGAGACAGTGAATACAATGAAATACATAGAATACAATGGGATACATTGAAATACAATGAGAAAAAAAGACAGTGAATACAATGAAATACATGGAATACAACAAGACACATTGAATTACAATGAAAAAAAGACAATGAATACAATGAAATACATGAAAATACATTGAAATATATTAACAGAAAATCAAGTTGCTCAGCCCCAAACTCCATCGTCTTTGTTCAAGAACAAACCAACCGGATTATATGTCGGCGGCTGCTGTCTTTGCAATCTTTAGATTGCCAATGCCATTTAGTACAAAAATTATCAAGAATACCATTCTCATAACAACGAAAGCCTTCGTCCAAGAACTTACAATCCTTTGATATATATAGTGGATAACTTTCATCCCAAACCCAATTCCCATAAAAAAGATCACAACTTTCTGCTCCCTTTTCCAAAAAATCCAACTTTTCAATCTTGTTATATGGAACAGATGATCCATTGAGCCCAATCCACGTAGCAAACAAGGATGTTTGATGATACAAACGAGGCCCTTTGTTTACTTTTCTGTAATCCAACAAAAACAGACACAAGAATAAGCAAACAGTAAAGAAAAAGCAGCCAAGTACACCTGGTGATGGCTAAAAAAGCTTCAAGCGTTTGAATTTCTTGAAAATTTTAAATTGGGTCATTGTGTTGAAGAATCTAGGAGATGGGCTTTGCACAAATCCGGTGGAAGGAGGAGGAGATCGGAAATTTTAGTGGGATGGGGGAAGAGAATGGGATGTATCAAAGTAAAGAGAGAAAGAAAATAGTGTAACTGATTAGCGTATTCAGTGTCTTAGGGCTAGGAGGTAACCAAAATTAAATATTTTGCTATAAACCTTAAAAGGTATCTATAGAATATAATTTTTTTAAATGGTATTTAGTTAAAATAAATAAGGTGTTAACCTTTGCTATAGGAGGTAAAAATTCC